AAAATCGGAAAACCATATCGTAAATCGTTCATTTGCAAATTATCAGTCCATCATATCGAACTGGACTGTTCCTGTTGCCAAACATCAATCCATTGTCACTATTCATGCGTTTCATACAAATTCCATTGTTTTCTAACTCTTCCTTTCTTGATCTCTTCCCATCTTCGGCTGCCAGACATTACGTTGACACTCACGTCATATACTACTTATGAGTAGCTCACACCACAACTTGATACTATAAGACCACATGTCCTGACCGTCTTTTACTACCTCATATATTAGACCTTCAAGTTATAGTTTATGAGATTAGACGCCTAAACAAAACCACTTCTTCTGGTTTCCGCTCTCGATTGCTATCACAGATCGCACAAAGATATTATTATCTATGGTATACACAATTTTTGGTTCTAAGCTGTTCCAAAATCCATGTGAATTAAATCAATGACTGAATGCTTAGAAAAATGCATCGTTCCACAACTTCAACTGGGGTTTTTCCAAAATGCAGTCTAATTTTTAAGTGGAATGAAACAATGATTTTGAAACGTGTAACACGATAAATGAAACGAATAAACTGTAAAAGTAGTTAAAGATGTGTGACAAAATGAACTAACTTCATATGTGACTAACCAATGAAACTTGGTAAACATTGAAGAATTGTTCTTTTCCACCATGGCATTGCTTCACCAAAACATGGCAGAAATCCATGAAGTCACTGACAAGTGGACTGAGTCATGTTGGTAGATGTAGGCTATCTGGTTGCGGTCCGCGAGACGAAAGTCACCAATGGTTAGAGACCTTGAATCGTTTGCAATGGAGCAGGTGCATCCACTCTTTGTGTTCTCTCTAATTCTAACCTTCTGAATTCCTCATAATCTCTACCTTTCTCCTTCTAAATTTATCTTACTGAATTATACTTCTCGAATCATATCTTCGAACCCCAATCTTCTCCACTGCTGCTAATAATTCTACTATCGTTATCACTCTTGGATTTGAACTGACAGTTACGTCTCTGTAACGACGTGGTATGGCATTGTGAACTGATGTACTTATGTACGAAGTTCTGCGTTGTATCTGTCTGTCTGTCTGACGGCATTGTTTCTCATTGCGGACCTGCAAACCATAAACTTCAGATCATTGAATAAGGAGCGTGTTTTGTCCCATTTTAGACTCATCTGTAGCTGGATTCCATTGCTATATAAACATGTATCATAATGATTATATTGCGGCGGCAATCCTCATAGAGTACTCTAATGCTAATCAAGACTGATCATATTCGAGGCAAAAAATATCAACATTTTTGAAACCTGCGGGGTGCAGGAGTCGTGGATGCGCACTGCTGAGGAGTCCCATACCAGGACGAAACGGCCGTCCAGTGCTTTTAGGTTTCTAATGGTGGTCTAACATGGATCGATTCATGGTTTCAAAAATGTGTAACTTAACAATCTTCACAACCCCGTAATGCAAAAATATCAACGACTTTAAATTCCTATTTTCAATATCAGTCTATTCAATTAGTCACTCGTTACAATATCCAATAGCTATTTGTAATAGATAGAATGTTGTTTAGCCATGCTGTTGTATTTTTTTCTATGACTCATTTAATAAATATATATATTTATGATGCCAAGAATTATATTACATCATTTGTTTAAATTATAATAAATCATAATTTTAGAAAATAAATTTTAAAAAAAACACCTGAGAATCTAATAATTGTGATGTAAATTATTTTTGTTTAGTATAAAATTAACTGCCTACAACATTTAATTTGAATATTGAATAAATCAAATTGACAAATGAATTTTACCATTTATGGACATGAAAAAAAAGTGACTAATCAACTGGGGGGGGGTATGAATCAGTTTAGAATGTGATTTGACTGAAATGACAATATGTAGTCAAGATTTTCATGTATGTATACATGTAAACGAGTAATTTTTTTTTTTTTTTCGAGTTGTTTCCAAATTCTCTAGAAAGTGAATTTTGTCTATATTTCCACCAAAATGTGTCCTTTCCAACGCCGGCGATTTTTCCTAATTTCTTCGTTGATTGGAATCTGGTTTGTCCTCTCCCACAGTAGGTCATTGTTGCTGGTGTCTGGCCTAACGATGCGTAGACAATTGTTAATAGACATCTGTATCTTGTGGATGATGACTTTTGTGGTTCTCCAAGTTTCCGCTACATATAACTTGACATTTGTATTGAAAATTGTGACTTTGATGTTGGTTGATAGTTGTTTTGAGTTCAAGATGTGTTTCAGTTATAGAAATACTGTCGTTGCTTTGCCAAACCTTGTCTTTACACCTTCTTTTTTGATGATGCTGCCGAGCTTTGTAAGGGTTTCTACATTTTCGACAGATTCTCCATCAAGTATGATTTGGTTGGTGTATTTTGTGTTGTATCGCAGGATCTTGCTTTTTCTCTAGTGTGTTTGTTGAGGCCTACTGTGTTGTGGGCTACTTATAAGTAGTATATGACGTGAGCGTCAACGTAATGTCTGGCAGCGGAAGATGGGGGGTAAGATCAAGAAAGGAAGAGTTAGAAAACAATGGAATTTGTATGAAACTCATGAATAGTGACAATGGATTGATGTTTTGCAACAGGAACAGTCCAGTTCGATATGATGAACTGTTATTTTGCAAATGAACGATTTACGATATGGTTTTCCAATTTTACTGAGTAACTCTGCAATATTCGTTAAATACAATTCGGTTGCCCCACCTGTGTTCTCTTTCACTACACTGCTACTATCTCAGATGCTACACTGGTTATCTTCCCCTGCATTTGTTGTTGTGTGTGAGACAGAAGAGCTAGACCATCTGCCAAGTCTAGTTCATCCAGCTACATCCGAGCTGTCTATTGTATTCCATGCTTTTGCTGAGACGTTGACCTCCTCATGATTCAGTCAAGCGCTAGAAGAACGAGAAACGGTAAAAGTAAACAGCTTTGTCCGTTACCGCACTTCACTTCGAATGTGTATGTGTACTGCGCAGCTTGCATGATTTCGCAGTATAATCCATTGTAATAATGCCTTATGATATTGACTGTCTTCCTAGGTATACATTAACAAATATAAAGTGATCATTAGTTCATTTTTTTAAAGCAGATTAACTATGATGTAACTAAGTAATATACTACATACTGAAAGTGCGACAAAATACGATAAAGAGCATTAGCTGCTCACAACGAGTTATTTTGACTGTATGTATCATTCACAGTTACGAAAGCGTCACATTTGTAGTATGGCTGAAATAATCACTTTACATACAAACTAATTTAAATGATTTTCACTAGCCTTTGACCTGCACATTTAGAGTACAACTCAGTGGAGCAATATTAGAATATAAGTATCCCATAGATCGAAACAGTTTAATACGCCATTAGCTAACTGTTATGCTTGCCAATTGATATGCTTGAAACTATTACGAATTTGCCTCGGTCGGTAAACGAGAGAGAAGACAAATGATCCAGTGACACGATAGACTACTCTAATCCGAGTATCCCAAGGCCCCACTAATTAGAGGAAGTACTCTTGAAAGGGCGTATAAAGTGTATTCTACAAGCATCCAGAAAATATGAGGTTAACAAGCACACAAATAGAGTTTATTTATACATCATAGAAGCGTTACTGGGAGAGCCACAAAAACCAATGACGGTCAAGGATTTTGCGTGTGAGAAATGTAATCTCAAGGTCAACTGATCAGCCACCGTGCGAAAGCATAAAATCCAAAATTAGGACCGTTATCAATTGAGTTCTGGGGATCTAACGTCCCCAAGATTGACACATGCCAATGCTGTAAAATACCGACAAGTAATTCATAAAATATCGTCTATAGATTTATTCCATATTTGGATGTTAGGATATTAAAATGATTCGAAAATTTTTTCCCGAATCACCAAAAAATATACAAATATACGAAAACAAAATGAAATGTGTTTAATGAAAATGGGATCTGATTAACTACTGAGCATTGACTGACAGATACTCAACTTATTGATATGAGATTTCTTTTCTACCAGCGCTATGAAAACTTTGAACTTATAGTATGTAGACTGCTGGTAATACAGTTAATGATGAATAGATCATTGTTTATTCTATAATCTGATTCATAATAAAAACTATTGAAACAAAATTTCTAGCCATTTGTTACTGAGACTACTTATAGCGATTTCAGTAGTATCTTACTAAATGTGTTTATTTTTTACCGTCTTGCTTCAATATAAATTTTCAAAATGAACAATAATCATTCTTCTTAAAGATTTTATGGAGAAGTGAGTAAGCATAGAATTATCATTCTTTAAAATTATTGAAGGTGTCTAATGGTGGTCTTCAAGCCCACATACAAAAGATGATTTGAACTACTGAAACTTGAAATATATTCACAGAAGTCATTGAGCTAGTCTGATACACTGAAATCATGAATTCATCTATGTTATATTACAATTTGAAACCTGGAATTGGTTTACAGCCGTTTCTCCATAGTATGGCACTCATCAGCTATGAGCATCCAAGACCTCTCATGAGGGAGTTCCAGTGTGTCATGTGTTTGGTAGTTACCCATCATACACAGTGGATGAGGTTGCACAATATTAAAGGTTGATTCACGTTTGATAATAACACTGTTAGATATCGTTTAAGTGGCCAAGAGGTTAAGCATTCTCGCGCAGACCCGAAGGTGTAAGGTTCGATTACCAATTATCCATTACTGAAGAGTCCGATAATAAGACGAAACGGGAGTCTAATTCTTACATGTTTCTAATGGCAGTCTAACGTTGATCACTTGATTATTTCAACGAAAGTCAACAACCTCAAATGCAGCATAATTTTAGTGCCCTGTAGTTTGGCGCTAAATTATCGAAATCGTATTGAATTAACTCATCACACTATTTTATTTCCTTTAAAATATTTTTATGTATTCAAAAAAATTAAAATGTAGGAAGTTGTCAAAGTCCCATTTCTTAACTATTCAACTAGGGAACAAAGATCTCTCTGACATTAAATGTTAGCTTTAACAACTGACAATGATGAATGCAGATTAGATTTAAGAATTTGTGTTATTTCCAAAATGATTGCAAAGTAAGTAAATAAACTGTATAATTCATTTGAACTCCACTTGGAGCTCCTCTAGGTTTACTGCCATTCCGATTACTGGATAAATTAGGAGTGTTAAGCATGTGGTTAATGAAGACCCTATGCCGTAGAAATCCCGTCGAAATAATTCACTGGTCGGCGGCCTATTCTTCATTAGTGGTAACTAGCGTAAGTAAGTAAGTCAGAAAGTAAGTAAGCTGCGTAAGTAAGTAAGTAAGTAAGTAAGTAAGTGCATAAGTAAGTAAGTAAGTAAGTGAGTAAGTAAGTCAGAAAGTAAGTAAGTAAGTTAGTTAGTTAATAAGTAATTCATTTGCGAAACTCTAATCTATTGTAATGATCCTGTCGTACTACAGTTTTATTAACATTACTCATAACGATCATATGATCATTCACTTCCTATTATGATTATTTTTTCGGTACAATCAATAAATCATACAATTCACTATTCTTATACGATTGAAAAATTCACAATAAACTCCCCTATAACTACTATAATTCAATCGACAAGATACTTCTGATCTATGTAGCATTTTTGTGTTGGTTGGTTGGAAAAAAATTAACTTCAATGAGAGAGAGAGAGAGAGAGATATCGTGTGTCTTGCTATGACATAACACTTCACATATTGTTGTTTGTTATAAATTTTTTCAGTGTTGAATATCGATCAAAAGGTTTATCGATTTCCACAGGTGTTTTTTTTAAATCGCTGACTTGTTACATTAAGCACAAAGTCAATTTCATTCTCTACTAGACAGGGTTAAATCATTAGAAATCATCAATGCCATACCAGGACGAAACGGCCGTCCAGTGCTTCCAGGTTTCTAATGATGGTCTAACAATGATTGATTGATGATTTCAAATGTGTAAAAACACAAAAACTCTGCCCGAAATATCGTAACAGTGCTCACTAGTGACTAGCTTCGTGAGGAAATTCTCGGAGTTCTAGTTGAGAAGACGTGACCAATGGAGTTCAACCCTGTCGGGTGTAGGCAGTAACTACCAAAGACAAATGGGTGAGGTCGCGCAAAATCCGTAGATCAATCAGAGTTAGACAGTAACACCGTTGGATGCCGGTCCAGTGGTCCGATGGTTACGCGTTCGCGCACAATACCGAAGGTCCCGGGTTCGAATCATGCAGGGTACAGGAGTCTCGGATGCGCACTGCTGATGAGTCCCATACCAGGACTTGACGGCCGTCCAGTGCTTCCAGGTTTCTAATGGTGATCTAACAATGATTGATTGATGATTTCAAATGTGTAAAAACACAAAACCTCCTAAAACTCTGCCCGAAAATTAAATCATTAATCAAAACCATAGAATTATTTATGATGATTAATCATTCAGTCGCTTGATGGTATTCTGTTGACTGATTTATGCGAACAAAGTTATTAATCTGGATGAATACACTATGTTTTCTTATTCACCTTCAACCGGCAGGGGGTAGTTTTACATTGGTTTTCAGGAGAATCAAGGAGACTGCCCACGTGTTAACACTACAATGTGAAGAACAGTACAGCTCAATCGTGTGGCGCAACCATCCAAAGGTACCTGACACCCTGATGGACCATTCACACCAAGTATTTACACTAATACATATAGTGATTAGTTCTTATTCATGCTCGCGTCAATCAATACGCACAGCATGGATAGGCCAATTTAACCCATCCGGCTTACATTAGTGTCAAACTCATTATTATTAGCAATGGTAATACTCTGTAATACAACAAGCATAATGAAAATGGCCCACGGGAAATTTACAAGACAACCACCCCTAGTATCAATAAAATCGGTCATTCTGAAAACTATATTTGCAAAAGGAATATTAGCAAAACGTGCCGAAGTAATGTCAAACCATCTACAATGTTCATCACAACGAACCTCTAGTCGCATAGGAAACCTTCAGCTCTATACAGCAATATAACTTATGGTATATACATCATATGGCATAGGATAGTAAGAGATGCAGCCAAGCTTAACGCAAATAGGCTCAATCACACTTAAAACCCATTTTCTCATATTTGGACATGTCATTTTATCGCGATAGCGAAATTTTCATTTTTTGAACATATGACACCTGGAATTAGTCGACAAAAAACACTATACACACATATTTGACATTGATTAGCAAGTTTTGTCTGAATTTCAGAAAAGAACAAATTCTCATTTGATCAATAGACTTTGATTAATACTCAAGATTAAACGAACAAAGTTTCGGTCACTGCTCAGTGACAGGTCAGTTAGGCTCTAAACGGTTTGATGTTAAATTCTCAGACGTGAGGTCGAATCCCGTAGGAGTATCAGTTACAGATCAGTGAGCACCAACTAATCAGATTACACTTGATGGAGAAGTTATCGAAGATGTGTAAGCGTTTATATATCTGAGCAGATCAATGAAAAATAAGGCGGATCTAATGCCGATGTAAAGTCACGAATTGTTAAAGCTAGAGCAGCATTTCTGCAATTAAAGAACATTTGGAATTCAAAACACCTGTCAACCAACACAATATTCAATACGAATGTCAACACACTTCTATTTTATGGAGCAGAAACTTCAAGAACTACAAAATACATCACCGGGAGACACAGGTGTTGATTAACACTTGTGATAGGGAGTGAAGTAGTCGGGTGTGTCGACCGCTTCACTTATCTTGGGAATTTCATCAGCGCTGATGGCTTCGTGACTGACGGAATCTCAGCTCGGATACAGAAGGCTCGATTGGCTTTTGCCAACCTGCGTCACTTATGGCGAAGGCGAGATATCCGTTTGCTGACTAAAGGACGAGTGTACTGTGCAGTGGTTCGCACCGTCTTACTTTATGGCTGTGAAACATGGCCAATGAGAGTAGAAGATATTCGTAGGTTATCGGTTTTCGATCATAGGTGTCTTCGAATCATTGCTCGTATACCCTGGGATACCCGAGTGAGCAACACTGTTATTAGGAATCGGGTGTTAGGTAAGAATGGAAGATCATTAGATGAAGTAATGAAACTTCATCAGTTGAGGTGGTTGGGACATGTGTTACGTATGCCTAACCACCGACTGGCTCGAAGAGCTTTGTTTTGTAGTGTAGGAATAAGTTGGAAGAAAGTTAGGGGCGGCCAAACCAAAACATGTCGGAAATCCATGAAGTCATTGACGAGTGGACTGAGCCATGTCGGTAATTGTCGACTACCTGGCTGGGGTCCACGAGATGATAATAATCGATGGTTAGAGACCTTGAATGACATGACTCAAAATCGTTCGCAATGGCGCCGGTGCATTTATTCTTTGTGTTTTCTCAAATCCTAATCTTCTGGATTCTTCAACACCTCTAGTTTTGTCTTTCTAAACTTTTCTCACTGAATCATACTTCTTGAATAATATCTTCTAATCCTAACCTCTCCGATTACTTCTAATACCTTTACTACATCTCTGTGCTGATGTGGTACGGCGACATGTACATGATGTACTTACGTACGAAGTTCTATGTTGCATCTGACTGACTGACTGAACACTTGTCTACGCAAGATACTTTGGATCCATTAGCCAAATACCAACATGAACAAATTACTGTGAAGAAGAACCAACCAGTTGAGGGAGAAATTAGGAAAAAGCGCTGATGAAATGGATAGAAAACACATTGCGGACATCACCAAACTGAATAGCAAAACCATTCCTCACTTGGAACTCTCAAGGGCAGAGTACAAGAAGAAAACCAAGAAATACAATGCACCGAGAATTGGAGGCAGATGTGAACACAATGAATAGCAGTTAGTTAGAATTTGAAATAAAAATCCAACACAAACTAGAATGGAGAATGCTGTGTCGGTGGCTTTTACTTCAGACTGACAGGCACAAGTAAATAAGTCACCAGAATTAATATATTATATCCTTAATGAGTCAATATATATATTACAATACCCATCTGTCAGTCCAGTTAAAAAAAAAACTTATTCTGGAATAATTCTAAAATTAAAATTTGATGTCAATCAATACAAAATCATCCAATAAACTTGTAATTCGATTACAATTTTATTCTATGCATTTCAATATACTCTCTCTCTCTCTCTCGCTACCTCCTTGTATTCCTCCTGGCGGACTTTTTAAATTGAATGACATTGACAAAACAACAACTTCACTCACTGATCATTCAATATTCAATAGATATAATAAAAAAATATTTAAACAATCTTAATCAGCATTCCAAAAAAAAACTACAATGATTTATTTTATTAATTAATCCACTAAAATATTATATTATAGAATTTTATTTTTTTCAAAAATTCAAAATGATTCGATTTCATTATTCCCATGATTTATCATGAATTTGACAATGTTTATTTTTAAATAAACTGAAACTGACGTTCAATAATGTGATTGGATATATAGATAGAGAGTGAGAGAGAGAGTTTTGTAAATGTTTAGGTCGCTGAAATATATATATATTAATAAGAAATAAATATATATAAATAGAAATGTATCAATCAAGCCAATAGATAGTTCAGATATTACAAAATATTACAAAATAGCAGCTATGCGGTATCATTATTCAACTGACATTTATTTCATCTATTTTGTATTCATTATTTTTTCATTGATTCAAACGAACAATAATGCATTTGAACATCAATTCAACAGAGAATATGTCGATACAGATTCATTGGATCAGTACCTGAATGACAGTGATTCTGGCGATGATAATGGTTATGGTCATCGTGTTGGTGTTTCCGGTCATCGCGGTCATCGGCATCACCACCCACGACACATTCACAGGGTGAGTTATTCATTTAATTGACATAGTTCTAATTGATATATTGCTAAAAACTGATCTTTTTATTTGTTGAATTGAGACTCTGTGACTAAAGTAATTTAACCACTACTTACTGACATACTTATGTCTGTTAACCCCCTGATAAAGCATGGGTTGCCGACCTTTTTTCTGGTTAGCGTATTTTCGTTTAGTGAGATGGGTTTCTATGGGATAGGGTCGTTAAACCGATGCCCAACCTTACTCCTCCTCCTTCTTTTATCGGTGCAGTAACCCCTAAGAAAGGCTCCAGATGGAGTTGTAATATAACCATATCTTTTGTTATTCAATAGTATACAATCAGAGTGATGTGAAGGATAATTTAACTAGGAGATGATTAAAACGTTTAGAAATTATCTGTCCATAGTTTTGATTTGTACATAATAATTATATATATTTTCACTATAGAGTTATAGAGGTTATTGTTTATTATTCAAAACTATGAATCAGTTATTGTTAGACCACCACTAGAAACCTGAAGGCACTGAAAGATGACCATTTCTTCCTGATTTGGTTCTACTTATCAATGGCACTGTGCATCCATGACTCCTGCTACTCGCAGGATTTGAATCTGGGACCTTTGGTCTTAAGCACGAACGCCTAACCTTTGGACCATTAAGCGGGTTTCTAACTGTGTTAATGTCGAAGTCTGGTTTTGCATAACCTCACTGCCTACATCCGACAGAGTTGTACTCTACTAGTCACGTCTACTCACTCGGACTCCGAGAATTTCCTCACAAAGCTAGTCACTAGTGTAATTTTGATTGTAATATATTTGGATTATCCTAGTTCCTAACTTTCATAAACGAAAATCGATTACTTCATGTTTCTTCTATTACTGATGTTATTTTTCCTTGTTAATAGTGTCACTAAATTGGTCTGTTGTATAATCTGGGTTTGTATTGATCTTGTTGGTCTTGTGTTCTTCTTCTATGATTGGGCCGTCGTCCAAACACAGAATACCAGTTCGTTCATCCTTGTTTTGCGATGATTACTGCAAAATCATTCCCCTATTGATTGATGGATGAAATGACGTCACATTGAATATTGTGAATTGAATGCAGTCAAACATTTACATTGTTAGTTATAGAGTTAATATTCGTCGAGGTTAATTGCTCACGAGTAAAAAAACGAAAGGTGTTGAGTTAAGGACCTCACAATACACAGTGTTGTGAGGTCCAAAGTAGCTAACATCCAGTACTTCCAACTTTCAGAGAATTTCATGATGTGTATTTAGGGTACATAATTTTATTTACCTTTTAATACATATATATATAACCTGGCCTTTGCTTTACAGTATCAATTATGTTAGCAAGTGAAACGTTGTAAATTATTTTTCGAAAGTTTCTTAAGTATCTAACATTTGTATGTTTACTATGTAATTTCGATTTGTATGCCAAGATGTTGTTGTACTGAGTTAATATTGTTACTCAATTAGTTAGCTGTGCAATCTAAGTTTGTATTTACATAAATAAGGATATCGGAAATAGAATAACAACCTTAAACTAGTAGTTATTGGTCTTGTGTTCGTCTTGTACAGTTAAGGCAAGCTAATATTAAGCTATCCTTCAAGCATAGAGTAACAAGCCTCTTGTACTTTTCACATATTGATTATTCGAAGATCGTCTGCGTGTTTGGGTAGTATATGGATGTAACAAAGTGTTAGTCACTGAATACAATATGCTTTTTGGGGTTGAGGGCGGATGTAAAAGGGTTCTAGTTGTCAGAAAGGGCATCGGCCTCATTACTTCCGAAGAAACTCGGCTTTCATCATGAGACGTCATAACTCTCCTAAATGTAAACTTTCTAACTCCCAGAGCAGAGTTTATATGGTTTGACTTATTTTTTAGCGAGTTAGTTTTTGCGGGATGTGGTCGCCAACCCCAATCCCAACACTCCTCCTTTATCTGGGCTTGGGACCAGCAGTAGCCTTGAACGGTCTACAGGGGTAGTTCTTTTTCTTTCAAGTTTATTTCACTAGATTCTACTTCTTGAACCCTAATATCTCTGATTACTGCTAACACTTCTACTACCTCCACTACTATGGGATTTGAAGTGACAGTTGAATCCCTGTGCTGATGTAGTATGGCAACTAGGACTGATGTACGTACGTACGAAGTTCTATGTTGCTGTTGACTGACTGATTGAATACAATATATGTGATAAGTTGAAAACTAGAACAAAGCTCTAAACTGAAGCAGAAAATCCGAATAACTGATTTCAACTAACTAAAAATAACCGTTACTAGCACTTTTAATCAGATAAATCCTGATTGTGAATGATGAGTTTTTAAGATTAATTAAAACTATTGTTAATTTGAAAAATTGTGTTCCATATTTTCATCTATAAATTTTAAATTCCATGTTAAAACCATTGAACTATGTTACTCATTGAAATCATGAATCGATCAATGTTAGACCACCATTCGAAACCTGGAAGCACTGAAAGACGGCCACTTCATCCTGGTAGGGGACTCATCACCAGTGCGCATCCACGATTCCAGCTACACGCAGGATTCGGGCCCAGGTTTTTCGGTCCTGTGCGGGAACGCACCTACTATTTTAATGTCTAACTCTGATCAATCTAAGGCTTTACAGATTGTGCTGTTCGCGGCCACTTTTGACTAGTTTATCTATAAATGTGATGTTTTCTTAAATCTCACGATGCGATCTAGTTCAAGATGTTTTGTATGTAACCTCATGTATGCATGAAATATAGTATGGCAGAAAGTGGCTATTGACATATCTTCGAACTCGAGGCAGGGCATAGAGTTATGGTCTTGATTGGCAAACTAAGAAGAGTGTATGTAGGTTGTGTTACTTTAATGCCTACTTTGCCAGTCAAAATGTATACTTGGTCAAATTTAGTAAGTTAAACTATAATCGGTTTGTTAGACGCGAGAGTTGAAATAGATTATGGTTGGTATTCTGATTAATAAATTTAACACATAAAATCGATTAGTATCTCAAATCATAATAACTAATCGATAGCATTTTAATTTACAGAACCTTCTAATTTAAATGTCACAGTAGTCATTTCGCTTAATCACTTAAGTTATCACAATAAAAAGTTTAAGAATAATAGTGACATGCTTCTGCAGAAGTGAACAGATCAATTATTTTGCGACAACATTAAAGGCATAAGGGTCAAAAGCGATTCGCCTTCAAATGCCCAGGTTCAGTCAATCGTGGGAAGAATTTAATTTGCCTCTGCATTTTTACTAGTGTCGCGACGCGTATATATCCACTACAATGAAATTCTTATTGTTACGCTCGTCAATTGATATGCTTGAAACTATTACGAGTTCACCTTAGTCGGCAAATGAGAGCGAAGATAAATGATCCAGTAACACGATGTGTTACTCTAATCCGAGTGTCCGAAGGCCGCACTAAATAGAGGAAGAAGTCTTTACAAGAAGTAGAAAGTTTATTCTACAAGCACATAGAAAATATGAGGTTAACAAGCACACAAATCGAGCTTATTTATACATCATAGCGTACTAAAATAACACGTCAACCAATAACAGTCAAGGATTTTCCTGGTGGGAAATATCATCTCATGGTCAACTGATCAGCCCATGCGCTAAAACATACAATCCAAAATTATGACCTTTATTAAGTGAGTTCTGGGGAACTAAAGTCCTCAACACTTACTAACTTCCTTCTCGTAACAATTGTGTTGTCTACAAAATTCAGAGGACGAAAAATGATTGTCTGGTCAGGGTATTCGGAATCCACCTAGAGGAGTGGGAAAAACCCTTATTGTAAACCAACAGTGCACTCGAGCTCCAGAATCCTGATGGGATGAATGGCGTATGAACTTATTACTGGTACCATAAGACTGAAACTTTTAACTTTGTTCCACTGCCCTTGTATATCAGGCTTATGCTTCAAAGGCACCGGGGAATAGTCACTTTAAGGAAACCACCTTTTTTTGATTTGCGAGTCTATGAAGCTTAGCGTATACATATTTATATATATATATGCTTAAATAAATAGATCAAAAACAGCTCAAAATATCAACGCAATCACAAATGGACAAGATGGAGTTTTTTTGAAGCAAATGACTACACACAAATTTCCAATGATTAATTCTTATTTTGGGGCACAGTTTTGGAGGTTTGCGTTTTTACACATTTGAAATCATCAATCAATCATTGTTGGACCACCATTAGAAACCTGGAAGCACTGGACGGCCGTTTCGATTGATGATTTCAAATGTGTAAAAACGCAAACCTCCAAAACTGTGCCCCAAAATATCGTAACAGTGCTCACTAGTGACTAGCTTCTTCGTGAGGAAATTCTCGGAGTTCTATTTGAGAAGACGTGACCAGTGGAGTTCAACCCTGTCGGGTGTAGGCAGTAACTACCAAAGACCAATGGGTCAGGTCGCGCAAAATCCCTAGATCAATCAGAGTTAAACATTAACACCGTTGGATGCCGGCCCAGTGATCCGATGGTAAGGCGTTCGCCTACAATGCCAAAGGTCCCGAGTTCTAATCCTGCGAGGAGCAGGAGTCGTGGATGCGCACTGCTGATGGGTCCCATACTAGGACGAAACGGCCGTCCAGTACCTGCAGGTTTCTAATGGTGGTCCAACAATGACTGACTGATGATTTCAGATTAATTCTTAGACTAAAATCTTTATTTAATCGAAATTCCTTATCTATTCATTGTTGAAGGATTTATGTTTTATTTTAATAGAATATTGTGCGTAAAACACAACCAAAACTATTTCCATGGAGTTTTCATTTTAATCGACCAAAATCACAAGAAATTTATGTATTCAATACAGAACGTTATAGTAATTGGTCTGATTGGAAAGAATGCCTACCAATGGAATGTATTGAAATACGTTATCGTAAATGTTTAGATGATTCATGGAAAACCGCATCACCAAATTTGATTCATACAACACGATGTATATCAAAGTATTATGCAGAAAAACGTACATGTTTAAATAAAACACAATGTAATGAATATAGTAAGTTGTAATTTTATGATTTTTTTGTTCCTTATGACATATTGAACG